CCAAATAATTTCTGTGTGTGGCTCAGTTTTGATTCCCTCTTTGAGAGTACATTTCAAATTGTCCCTAATATATATGGCTACTCCCCCTCCTCGTCTAATATATCTATCTGTGTGAAATAGTTTAAATCCATTTATTTCTTCAGCCGAACAAGTCTATGTGGGTGGGGACGAGGACAGGTTGACTAGTCTAGCAGTTACCAGGGAGGATGTTCTTAAACAAATAGTAAAACTCAAACCAAACAAATCCCCAGGGCCGGATGAAGTGTTTGCCAGGGTGCTTAAAGAATGCAAAGAGGAGCTTTGTGACCCACTGTCAACCATATTTAATAAGTCAATAAAGACAGGCAGAGTGCCAGAGTTTTGGAAAGTTGCTAATGTGATACCAGTTTTTAAGAAAGGAGATAGATCACTTGCGTCTAACTATCGACCAATTAGCCTAACGCCTATTGTGGGAAAGTTACTCGAATCTATAATAGCAAATAAAATTCGCCTTCATCTTGAAAAACATAATTTAATACTTGAGTCGCAGCATGGTTTTGTAAATGGCCGTTCGTGTTTAACAAATATGTTATCTTTTTATTCTAGCATAGTTGAGTCAGTTGATAGTGGTAAGGATTGTGATGTTGTGTACCTTGACTTTAGCAAAGCTTTTCATACAGTGCCACATGAAAGACTAATTAAAAAGATAGAGTCTCATGGTATTGGGGGTGCTATATTAAGCTGGATTAGGGCATGGCTATACCAAAGGAAACAGAGAGTTAGTATAAATGGAGTCAAGTCAGAGTGGGAAAATGTTGTGCTGTGCTGTGCTGTCCGCTCGGCCGACCGGCTCAACCGACATATGGATGGATATAAATAGAATCGGTCACGTATGGGCCAATAGTCCTGTATATTCCTTAATTTTTATGTTCCATTTTTTATTATTTTGTTAATATTTATGATATAATATATTATATTTTGTTATTATGAAATACTTAAATAATAATTTAACTAAATAATAATATTATGAGGTATAATAATAATATATTATGAGGCAGAGAGGTATTATATAATACCTAAACAAGAATATAATCAACACGGAAAGTGCAGTTATATTCAATGAAACATATCAGAAAACTCTTGACCCTTGAAGGATTCGAACCCGGTCAGCTAGTGCCTCTTGGCTGGCTGTTGTTGTTGTTCTATATTTAGCTACTCGGAAGGAAACAGCCCTTGTAGCACGGACAATAATGAGCCCGTAAGTGAGTTTGGTTATCCGCGATAACCTTGTTAGTGTGATAACCTTGTTAGTGTGATAACCTTGTTAGTGTGATAACCTTGTTAGTGCGATAACCTTGTTAGTGTGATAACCTTGTTAGTGTGATAACCTTGTTAGTGTGATAACCTTCTTAGTGCGATAACCTTGTTAGTGTGATAACCTTGTTAGTGTGATAACCTTGTTAGTGTGATAACCTTGTTAGTGCGATAACCTTGTTAGTGTGATAACCTTGTTAGTGTGATAACCTTGTTAGTGCGATAACCTTGTTAGTGTGATAACCTTGTTAGTGTGATAACCTTGTTAGTGTGATAACCTTGTTAGTGTGATAACCTTGTTAGTGTGATAACCTTGTTAGTGTGATAACCTTGTTAGTGTGATAACCTTGTTAGTGTGATAACCTTGTTAGTGTGATAACCTTGTTAGTGTGATAACCTTGTTAGTGTGATAACCTTGTTAGTGTGATAACCTTGTTAGTGTGATAACCTTGTTAGTGTGATAACCTTGTTAGTGTGATAACCTTGTTAGTGTGATAACCTTGTTAGTGTGATAACCTTGTTAGTGTGATAACCTTGTTAGTGTGATAACCTTGTTAGTGTGATAACCTTGTTAGTGTGATAACCTTGTTAGTGTGATAACCTTGTTAGTGTGATAACCTTGTTAGTGTGATAACCTTGTTAGTGTGATAACCTTGTTAGTGCGATAACCTTGTTAGTGTGATAACCTTGTTAGTGTGATAACCTTGTTAGTGTGATAACCTTGTTAGTGTGATAACCTTGTTAGTGTGATAACCTTGTTAGTGTGATAACCTTGTTAGTGTGATAACCTTGTTAGTGTGATAACCTTGTTAGTGCGATAACCTTGTTAGTGTGATAACCTTGTTAGTGTGATAACCTTGTTAGTGTGATAACCTTGTTAGTGTGATAACCTTGTTAGTGTGATAACCTTGTTAGTGTGATAACCTTGTTAGTGTGATAACCTTGTTAGTGTGATAACCTTGTTAGTGTGATAACCTTGTTAGTGTGATAACCTTGTTAGTGTGATAACCTTGTTAGTGTGATAACCTTGTTAGTGTGATAACCTTGTTAGTGTGATATTTGGGTCAAAGTTTTAAATGGCGGTTGGGTTTTCTCCCAGTTCTTTTCCGCTTCTGTTTTAGCGTAACGGGTTTAATCTTGTTTTAATAACATTATCTTATAATGCTCTAGTATAATGTTAAGAGATAAGATAATAACATGATTTTATAATGTTTTATAAAACATTTATTATTTTATAATGTTATTGAATATATAGGGTGGATATAGATGCACAGTATTCACTAGTGTGTCCCATTCTTTAACTGCTTTTCTAAACTTTTCTATCCATTGTTGTCACTGTGGATTTTGAATCTAATGCAGCTGCTCTTGTTAGTTGAATGCAGCTGCTCTTATTGGAAGAATGTTGCTGCTCTTGTTAGTTGAATGTTGCTGCTCTTGTTTGATGCTTCACATTCCCGTAAGTAGTGCAATAGTGGCGCCTCTGCATCTGTTCCACAGATATGACATTCTTTAACTATTGTGTTTATTACCTAAACCCTGAGGTTTATTACCTCCCAGCAGCACTTGTAACCAAGACTGAGTCTGTGTATGGCTACTGCAATGTCTCTAAGATAGCTTTATGCCAGGCTTGATAGAGTAGTACCCAGTGGATTGTTTGTACCATATCGCAGTGTATCTTCCTTCCGCTACTTTGGCTCTGTGGCGACTTTTGATAGTTGGGAGTATTTTCTTCTTGATTTGCTTCTTAATCTGTGAAAAACGAAGTTATTTTAACCTTACAACAGGGAAACAGGTTTTGTTAGTGAGTCTGCCTTTTCTTTACCATCTATGCCAAAGTGACTTGGTATCCAATTTAGGCTGATTGATCAACCCGTCCTCTTATAAATAACGTCACTTTTCGCTCGTATGCGCACTATGGCCAAATTTGGACGTAATTTGAAATGAAATCGACTCGTTCTGACGTTCTGTTCCGTTTTCTATTTGAGTCGTCTGGCGTACGCGCAGAGGTTATAAGAGGACACTTTAAATTAACGTTTTTCATAACATTTTGAAACTTTATGAGAATTTCCTGCCCACCTAACCTTTTAGAGGACCCTCAACTTGTTGAAAAAAATACCAAATTTATTTTCATTTATTTTTTTCATTTTCAAATTACGTCCAAATTCGGCCATACGGCCAAAAGTGACGTTCTTTTTAAGAGGACAGGTTGGATTGATAGCCCTAGATTATTTGCTTCTTTACCTTTATGTAGAATATGATTCCATTGATGATGGCCACAAAGTCGTCTGCATAGTTAAGCAGTTTGGCTTTTGGTAACTTTTGGGTTCATGAATTGTTCCACGAGACAGTTGAAGAGCAAGATGATCTCGGACGTAGGTTCGAATCCTCGTCCCGGCCCTTGTGGATTTGTTCAAGGGGCTTAGTATTTCTCCCTGCTGAGTCCCATTTTCCAGCCTCTTTAAGTATTTTTTCATTTGGAATTTTACTTTAGGTTCTCGGTTAAGCAGGCTTCCTTTAGCAAAGGCAAGAGCATTTCCTTATCCTCCATTATTACCTCCAGGCAACACATTGTAGCTCGAGCACTGGCTTGCTCGAAGGCTTTTTCTAAGTCCAGAAAAATAAGGATTCTTGGTTTGTCATTGATTTGATCCAGGAGGGAGGTAAGGCATTCTGTGGTTCCCACACTGTTTCTGTGAGCAAACATATTTTGATTCAGTGGATTGGCTTTCCATTCAATTCTAATCGAACTGAATGGAAAGCCAATCCACTGCACCATAAAAACTATGCTTACATAAAAGGTGTGGGAACCATTCTTTCTGCAGTTTTGGCCAGACAGCTTGTTAATGAGATGGGTCTTGGGTTTCCTGGGTCTTTGGAGTTGGGAATTGGAACTATAATTGCACTATTCCAGGAGAGTGGTCGAGTTCTTGTCACCCATACTCTGTTGATGAGATTCAAGAAGGCTTCTTCACCCTCTTCTCCAAGTTTGACCTGCATGTTGTACGTGATTTTGTCCTCACCTGGCGCTGTGTTTTTTAGTTTTCTTTGTAGCGTTTCTGAGTTCTTTCGGATTGAAAAGTTGGTCATTGGTTTGTCCGTCAGTTTTTTTCCATCTTGCTGCTTGAAGTCTTTGTTGGTGAGTGAGAATTGCTTGAGGAAGTTGAGCGGAACTAGATTTGTGAATCTTTCTGCTTCTTGCTCTGAATGAAGATGATGGGGCGAAGCAGGAGGCGATTTTCTTTTGTTCCTTTTGATCTGCCTTTAACTTGACACACAACTCGAGCCAATTTTCTTCTAAGATTTTTGCTGTTTCTTCATGCATATAATCTAAGACAGCTCTACGAAGTTCCAGATTAGCTTGGGTTCTTCTGAAATTCTTTCATGCACAATTTAGCCTCTTATGCAGTTATTTTATCCTACCGCAGTAATACCAATGTTGGTATTACAACAGTATTACTTAAGTTGTTAGGTAATTGTTTTCTTATTGGGGATAGAGTGATTTGCATTTACTAAATATTTGTCCATATCTTCAGTGTTGTCAGACGGAGTGTAAGTTTAGTGTCAAATTTCAAGAGAATCCTGAAATTTCATCTGCTTTGATAAAATCCCATTATCAGGACCGGCTCTCCGGAGCTCCGGCTCTCAGGAGCTGGAGGTAGTGCTATATTAATAACTTTTCTTGTAGCTCAGGTGTCATGGATTGGTGTTCACACAACTTCACACTCTGCAACCCACCCACGAGGGGGCGACACACTCCTAGCCCTCCAGGAACGCTTGGACAGAGGCCTCTGATCATCCGAACTGTCAGCCCCAGCAGGAGGCATCCCAGTAGAGCCCACGGCCGGCCGCAAGTCACCTGGCAACACACGATCCGGAAAAACATCAGCCTCATCCACAGGGGGTACAGGCCCACACCCTTCAGGCGACGCATGGGCTGGAGACGGGGCCGGCGGAGACGAAGGAGCCAGCGGGGCCGTCGGAGGCGAGGAAGCCGACGGTGGGGGTGGGTCCGCACCCCCCGACACCCACACCACTGGAGCGGCACCCATCACCTCGGCTGTCCTCTCACAAGGGGTATCATCCACAACCGAGACATCCTCACGCTCGGGCAAGGGCTTCATGAAACACATTTACCCGATCATACATCCGAGTGTCGCAGGCAGCAGCCAAATGTCCAACGTGGCCACATTTATAACACGTCCGAGTCTGCCCACGGTAGGAGAAGCAGATCGTTAAGCCAGTAAGCGCGAGAGAAGAAGGCACATTCCCATGAAGAACCATCTTAGCCGTTCTGTAACCATTACCTAGTCCCCTTGACGTCCCCGGTTGTGTATTTACAGACACGAATATAGTCCACACGCCCATACCTGGCAAGAGCCCGATGGAGAAGATCCTTAGACATTTCAAACAGTGCATTTTTAATAGACACTCCACACTCAAATTCGTCACAGTCACAGAGCCAAGACCGTTGCTCAGCCCCACCACCTTGTCCTCATACTGGTCGAGAAACCTCTGGAGCAAGCCACTCTCGGCGAACTTCACAACAGTCGTCACGAACAGCCTATAGACCGACGAGATCTTCCACTTTCACACCCATAACTGCAAACAGAATGTTGCTGACGACACCAATATCCACCTGACAGGTAAAAGTCAGAAAAGTCGAGTCCTTCCTCCTTAGTGGCGGCACGTAAGTCCCCATACTGAGACTGAAAAACAGTCACCCTGCAGCGGAAAACAACCACCCGTCAGGGCAACCAACAATCACCCAATGTAAACACCAGCAGGGAGACCAGGGGAACGTCCGACCCGGCTGGTGGTTCCCACCACACTCTGGTCAACATATTTCAGCCACGTTATTGTGACTCCTCGTCTGCAAGATAGTTTGTTTTTTTCGTTTAATTCTATCCAAATAGCTTTTGTGTGGGACTCAGTTTTGGTTTCCTTTTAGAGACTACATTTCAATTTTTCCCTAACATATATGGCTACTCCCCCTCCTCGTCTAATATATCTATCTGTGTAGAATAGTTTAAATCCATATATTTGATATTCAGCGAATAGTTCTCATTTTCTACATTCATTCACGTTTCGGTAAGTGCAATATCTATTTTTTATTTGACGAGCATTTAAATCGTTTATTTTGTGTCTTAGACTTCTACTGTTAGTGTAATATACCCTAAGTGAATTGTTATTTTGAGGCATTTCTCTTTCCCTGGTCATTTTGCCAATTTGTTTCCCCCACAAACATGTACCTTTATTACCTCCTGTCTTCATATCAATTCCCATAACACTATTTACTAACAGTTTAAACCCAAGCTTAAAAAAGCACATCCAACCAATGGTTGGAGGTGTTTGTTTAAGTTTGGTTTCATCCCCAGGGCCGGATGAAGTGTTTGCCAGGGTGCTTAAAGAATGCAAAGAGGAGCTTTCCGAGCCACTGTCTACCATATTTAATAAATCAATAGAGTTAGGTAGAGTGCCAGAACCATGGAAGGTAGCTAATGTGGTAACAATATTTCAGAGAGGAGATAGATCACTTACGTCAAACTATCGGCCAATTAGCCTAACATCTATTATGGGAAAGTTACTTGAATCGATATTTGCAAATACAATTCGTCTTCATCTTGAAAAACATAAGTTAATAAATGAGTCGCAACATGGTTTTACAAATGGCCGTTCATGTTTAACAAATTTGCTATCTTTTTATTCCAGCATAGTTGAGGCAGTTGATAGTGGTAAGGATTGTGATGTTGTGTACCTTGACTTTAGCAAAAATTTTAATATAGTGCCACATGAAAGACTGATTAAAAAATAGAGGCTCATGGTATTGGGGGTGCTATATTAAGCTGGATTAGGGCATGGCTATACCAAAGGAAACAGAGAGTTAGTATAAATGGAGTCAAGTCAGAGTGGGAAAATGTTGTAAGTGGGGTGCCTCAGGGCTCTGTCCTGGGACCTCTGTTGTTTATAATATATATAAATGATTTAGATTCAGGTTTGAGTAGCAACATTTGCAAATTTGCAGATGAAACGAAAATCGGTAGGGAAATTAATTCGGAGGAGGACTCACTATCACTTCAAGTTGACCTAGATAGGGTTTTGAAATGGTCAAAGGATTGGCAGATGCAGTTTAATGCTGATAAATGTAAAGTTCTGAGGTTAGGTAATGATGATAGAGTTACAAGATACGAGCTAGATGGTGTTGAGATTGCGAAGTCGGATTGCGAAAGGGATCTGGGAGTTATGATTAGTAAGAATTTAAAACAAAAGGATCAATGCATAAATGTTCGTAATAAGGCAAATCGGACACTTGGATTTATTAATCGCAGCGTTAGTAACAAGACACCTGGTGTGGTTCTCAAGCTATATCTTGCTCTAGTTAGGCCCCATTTAGATTATGCAGTTCAGTTTTGGTTGTCATATTATAGAATGGATATAAATTCACTTGAACGTGTCCAGCGTAGGATGACTAAGTTAATTCCCCAAATTAGAAATCTTTCATATGAAGAAAGATTAACAAAGCTTAAGTTGCATTCACTGGAAAGGCGAAGAGTTAGGGGTGACATGATAGAGGTTTACAAGTGGGTAAATGGACATAACAAAGGGGATATTAATAGGATATTAAAAGTATCAACACAAAACAGAACACGAAACAATGGGTATAAATTGGATAAGTTTAGATTTAGGAAAGACTTGGGTAAATACTGGTTCAGTAACAGGGTTGTTGATTTGTGGAACCAATTACCGCGTAACGTGCTGGAGGTGGGGTCCCTCGATTGTTTCAAGCGTGGGTTGGACATGTATATGAGTGGGATTGGGTGGTTATAAATAGGAGCTGCCTCATATGGGCCAATAGGCCTTCTGCAGTTGCCTTTGTTCTTATGTTCTTATGTTTGTTGGATTCAATGAACAATTTGAGATTATGGACAGTAAATAAGGAAATAAATAAATGATTGGTTAGGAGATGTGGATATTTTGCTGGAGGCGTGAGGCTCGCTTCTGGAGGGCTTTGACCTCACTTGAGGCCAGACATTGCAGGGGGAAAGCCACGCTCCGTTGAGCTCCCGTCAGAAAGAACCCCCTAGTGATATATCTCCAAGGAAAGTGTGCAGTCGTACCAGCCGTGGAATTGAGCTGGGGAGGTGTGGTCTCAAATCCTGGACGGCAAGGAGTGTTTATTAAGCCGCCCAGAGACATTTTCGTGGGCTGTGGAAGTGCCCTGACCAGGCTCCGTCAGAGGGAGGAGCGCCCTCGACGAGACAATCTGTGGTAAGCACGATTTATGCCAGTTCATAGTGAAAGCTTGTAGTTGGTCGTGTGCCCAGCGACAGTAGCAATGTTTATTGATGAGTTACAAATGTTTTGGTAAGGCAGGAAGCCTAAACAAGAGGACGGAGATGAGAGAGACAGCTGGAGGGACGAGCAGCACGTCCTCTCCCATCGACCGCTTGAAGCCAACTGACTGAGGGGCGGTGGAGGAGAGTGTGGAGGCCCGCCAGGCGAGGTGGAGCATGGACCCGCCCAATGGGGGAGTCCAATCTCACAGTATGTAGTGGACAGATAGAGGTTTGAGGCAAACATATTGTGTGATTATTTTTGTTTATGTGTTAAAGGGGAAACATTTTTATTGGAGTGTCGATGGGTTGCAGGTTTGTCTTTGGGGAAGAAGTTGCTGAGAACTTCGAAGCCAGCACAGAGGGAGTAGTTGATGAGACTCCAAAGTAGTGGAGCAGAGGACCTCGAGCTGTGAGAAGCAGTGAAGAGGAGTGTCACGTGCTTCTGTAGAGGTGGTGAAGCACCATAGTTGCTCGAGGGAACTTCATGGTGTAGCAGCCAGGAGAGCTGTGGAGAAACCCAGCAGACGAGTGAAGCACCATAGTTGCTCAAGGAAAACTTCATGGTAGCAGCCTGGAGGAGCTGCAGAGGATCCTGGTAGTTAAACCCGGAAGAACCTGAAGAGATCAGGGTAGTGAACTTCCAGATGTGGGAGGAAAGTTCTAAATGATTACTTGTAAGGAGGTAATCGAGTGTTTGGTTGTCATTAGCGTGCAAGACGCAGTGAGAGGTGGGTGATTGTTTGCATTCTTAAGTCAAGGAGTGTTTTATACTGAAGTTTAGAGTTACAATCGTAGGCTGGATTACCTACAGATGTATGTGTTCTAGGACTAATAGGGTGATCGATTGATCATTGTTGTGTATCAAGGAACATTTATACTGATATATGTTATTGCATTCACATGCTGATTTTCCTTGTACAAGTTTATAGATATATATATATATTCTCTTGCTGATAGTGCAACAGTGTATGTAGACTTGATCTACTTGAGGAGGTTGATAGTATCAGGTGGTGAACCAGGAGATAGGATACCACTTGATAAGCTGATGATAGAGTTCTGATGGTGTTGGAGTGCAACCTGATTGTAATAGTATAGAGTATAGGATTCATTATTATTATATGGGTGTATGTATTGTGTATGTGCTTTGTCCAGTAAATGTATTCCAATTTGCTGGTGTTTGCCCTTGTCCTAGTGAGGCTTCCCAGGTAGTAGTAAAGAAGGAGAGAGAGAGAGAGAAAGAGCCAAGAAACACTGCTGTGGACAGGGTAGGACGGAGAACCAATAAGTCAAAGGGGATTGAGGAGATCATATCACCTAAGGAGAGAGTGGGGAGTCACAGCGGCTCGAGTGGGTGTGTGCACGTGACAACGAGGCTGAGTGTTGGAGCCGCATCCCCTAAACATGTGACGTTGAGCCCCTCTCCAAGAGTCAGAAGCGCCTAGTGTAATCTCCTAGTGAAGTATAAGCACTCTACCAAGTTGTGGGTTGGGTTGTCCGTAAAGGAGGAACACGACGACAACACCACCAACCCACACTATAATAGTAAATACTGGTTCGGTAATAGGGTGGTTGATTTGTGGAACCAATTACCGCGTAACGTGGTGGAGGTGGGGTCCCTCGATTGTTTCAAGCGTGGGTTGGACATGTATATGAGTGGGATTTGGTGGTTATAGATAGGAGCTGCCTCGTATGGGCCAATAGGCCTTCTGCAGTTACCTTTGTTCTTTGTTCTTATGTTCTTAACAACCGCCAGACTGTCAATCAAAGACTGTATACAGAGATCCTTTCAGAAAAAC